AATGTGCAGTACGTACTCATGTTTATTCTATGAAGCCTTTTGGAAAATCGGTCAGTTTTGATATTGTGGCGAGCGCCACAAATAAATAAATGTATGGGAAACACATCCCACAGCACAACCACCTGAGCCCAACTTCAAGTCTACTCATCACCTTAACTTTAACTTTAACTGCGTTTGTAGCCGGTGCCATAGCCAGACTGATAAACAAACACAGACCGGAAGTTAACTTCGGGCCGGGCCGGGCCAGGCGCGTGCGCCCGATGAAACCGTCTATATAAAGTTTGAAGCATCAGAATCGGCATCGGTATCGGCCGATCACCATGACAAGAAATCGGTACTCAGTATCGGCTGCAAAAATCCTGATCGGAGCATCCCTACTAGTGACATTATTAAGTATGTTTATTTATCTAATATTTACAGCATGTTTGTTAGTTTTGGAAACTATGTTTATTATTGTGGTCTAGCCTCAAAATTTGACTTTTAATATCTGGTGGTAATTTCTATCTCTTCAATTTCTGCTTGGGTTTTTTAGAGAATCAAACAAACGGGAAGAAGAAGAAACACATCTGTGTATTCTTCAAAAGAACGTGGTGGGCTGTAAAACGTGCAACAAAACAAAGCAAAAAGCACAAAGTGGCTCCTCTTTATCCACAGCCCGACACATATTCAGCTGATCCTCAGCCAGATCCGTCTGTCCTTGAGTCGATGGCTCCGCAGGATCCAGCTGATCCTCAGCCAGATCAGTCCATCCTTGAGTCGATGGCTCCGCAGGATCCAGCTGATCCTCAGCCGGATCAATCCATCCTTGAACCGATGCCTCCGCAGGATCCAGCTGATCCTCAGCCAGATCAATCCATCCTTGAGTCAATGGCTCCGCAGGATCCAGCTGATCCTCAGCCGGATCAATCCATCCTTGAACCGACACCTCCGCAGGATCCAGCTGATCCTCAGCCAGATCAGTCCAACCTTGAGTCAATGGCTCCGCAGGATCCAGCTGAACCTCAGCCGGATCAGTCCGTCCTTGGAAGAAGAAGAAACACATCTGTGCATTCTTCAAAAGAACGTGGTGGGCTGTAAAACGTGCAACAAAACAAAGCAAAAAGCACAAAGTGGCTCCTCTTTATCCACAGCCCGACACATATTCAGCTGATCCTCAGCCTGATCAGTCCGTCCTTGAGTCGATGGCTCTGCAGGATCCAGTTGATCCTCAGCCGGATCAGTCCGTCCTTGAGTCGATGGCTCTGCAGGATCCAGCTGATCCTCAGCCAGATCAGTCCGTCCTTGAGTCGATGGCTCTGCAGGATCCAGTTGATCCTCAGCCGGATCAGTCCGTCCTTGAGTCGATGGCTCTGCAGGATCCAGCTGATCCTCAGCAGGATCAGTCCATCCTTGAGTCGATGGCTCTGCAGCATCCAGCTGATTCTCAGCCAGATCAATCCGTCCTTGAGTCGATGGCTCTGCAGGATCCAGCTGATCCTCAGCCAGATCAATGCGGCCTTGAACCGACGGCTCTGCAGGATCCAGTTGATCCTCAGCCAGATCAGTCCATCCTTGAGTCGATGCAGGATCCAGTTGATCCTCAGCCAGATCAGTCCGTCCTTGAGTCGATGGCTCTGCAGGATCCAGTTGATCTTCAGCCAGATCCAACCATCCTCGATTCAGCGGCTCTACAGGATCCGACTGATACTCCAGAAGATCCGCAGCCTGTTTCATCTGACCCGGATCGAGATCCAGATGCTTCAAAGATGACGCCTGTCGTAGGAGCATCTGACCTTGAGCCAGCAGCTCCAGAATTTCCAGGTGCTTCCAAGCATAGACGAATCAGAGATCAAACCCGTTTCAGAGCAGCCTGTTTCACTGATCCAACTCCTGGTGAGCCTTTTTGCCCTTTTCTTGTTCCTCCACTGATTGTTTTAAACCTGTGTCTAGTTACCCTAGTAAGTCTGTGTGTTTATATGCGTATGTCTAATTCCATATAAAATAATTCAAACGCAAATGATAAATCTAGTACTCCTGACCAAGTAGCATTTTTCTGATTGTGTATTTAAATAAATATAGTTGTAAAGAAATTGAAAGAATCCTGCTGTTTTACTTTCACTTACAGTGCGTCTGAAATCTCATACTGAGTAGGTGCTACATTTGAATTTAAACCTACTTTGTATTCAATTTCAGATGCAGAGTTTATCTCAGACATTGACCATATTTAGTCTCCGTAGAGCTGATGTGCACTGGATGTGTATATTTATTCAAGCACTGCTATTGGGCTTCATGTAAAACTGTGAATCTCATATATTAACATGCTCCTTTTGTATATTTTTGCAGTTCCGTTTGATGAAATTTATGAAGTGGGAAGAAAGATTGGACAAGGAGGCTTTGGCACTGTGTACGAGGGGATTTCGAAATTTCTACGTGAGCAGGTAGAATCACCGCTTCATTCACCAAATGTACAAATCAGTGCTTTGACCAAAATGTGTTTCAAGTCAATTTAAATGGAAATATTTGTGATAATGACAATACAGAATCTTTAATGTTAAATTCCAGATTTAATATGATCAGTTTACCCATCTGTAACATCTAGTGTTGCAAAACGACTACTTTTGTAGTATTACTAATACTATGACTTTTTGTTTTTGCAGGTTGCCATAAAAATCATCCCTAAAAGAGATGGAGACCGGTTTATTGAAATTGTAAGTTGTCAAAACTTAAATACAAATTACATACAAATTATAATTTAATGCAAATTATATTTTAAAAACAAGTGAAATGTGATATTGAACTCTTAATTATTGAACTCTCTTTGCTGTAGCCTGGCTGTTCCAAGCCGCTGTTTGCAGAAGTGGCTCTAAACCTGCTGCTGAAACGACCTCCGTTAAGCCCCTACATTGTGCACATGCTGGAATGGTTCGAAGAGGACGATCGGTACATCCTGATCCTGGAGTATCTGCAACCCTGCAAAGACTTGCTCAAGTTCATGCTTAACAACATGCAGCTACTGGATGAATCACAGACACGTAGCCTGATGTACCAAGCGGTGCTGGGAGCCAAGCACTGTCTTGACCGAGGCGTCTTCCACCGTGACATTAAGTTAAATAACTTTCTGATCAACACAAAGACGAACCAAGTCAAACTGATAGACTTTGGCTGCAGTGACCTCGTCAAAAGTTCAGGCTACTTGGGTGGTTTTACAGGTGAGCTGGCATTTTGTGTTACTGTTGCACTAAGTCCTAATGAGATGTCAGTCTTCTGTGTAGTGTGATGCTGGTGACTTGTTTGTTTAACCTGAATATCTCTTGCTTACAGGAGGAGTCCGCCCACCTGAGTACTATGTGGACTTAAAATACGAGGCAGGGCCAACAACTGTTTGGTCTCTGGGCTTTATGATGTACTCAATGGTGTACAAACGTCAACCCTTTAAAAGTCTAAGAGACATGATGCATGGTAGTCTGAGGTTTAAGCACAAAATATCCACAGGTGAGAGGGAACAATTATACCATTAACACAATGACAATAATATTGTTAAACACAAAGCAGCAGAACAATATTTTACATAATACATACTACATATTTCAACATTAATTTCATATATGACTATGTTCACGTGTCATGTAGACATAAAGAATGTACTGTACGTGACTAACCAGTGCTCGTGAAACCTTGTACAGAATTGCAGGATTTGATATGCCGCTGCATGACTCGTGACCCAACCGAGAGAGCAACTATAGAGGAAATCCTACAGCATGAATGGTTTCAGCAGGGACAAATGTCAGGAGTAGCTCAGGATCAGGTAGTAACAGGTAGGATCAGATAACTTAGGAGAAGGCAGATGAAGACAGGAATCCCAAGAAGTCCACGCAGTGCTGTCATGAGCTTCAACTTTCCTTTACATTTATTTTTTCAGCAGATGCTCCAAATCGGCCCCCAGTGAGGAAAATCTGCACAAATTATTCAGCAGCGAGTCTTCAGAGCAGCAATTATTTTAATATCTGAAACAGGGAATACATGCAGCACAATGGACGGACAAAGGAAACACGGAACAGAACACTCTTTATATACTTGACGAGGGGATGACGAGACACACCTGGGAGCAATGAACAATTAACATGAGGGAGAAACTAGGTGGGGGGGGAAGCACACACAGACAGAGTCCAGGGGCGTGACAGCAGAAGCCTAAATGTTATAGTGTATAAAAAAAAAACATATAGTATACGATATGAACTGAATATAGCTTCTTTGACCACAGAAAATCACAATATTATAAGGTAAACAAAAACTTAATCCAACAGGTCAGACGTGATGTTTTGCAGGAAGTAGGAACACACAAATTCAATCCTCTGAACTCAGGAACATGATACTGACATTTTTCCTGAAAAATCCCAGTCTTTGACTCCCTTGCTATGACAGACTATTTGGTAATATTTAAGCAAGTGACAGTAATGTGTGTCATGCGCTTTTATGAGACGTGTTTCCTGCCACAGTGCACATATTCAACTAATCGACAACGAAATGATCACCCGCCAGAGCGGCCTGTGAAACTGAGAAATCCATCTGCCATATTTACCTGCATTTGGAGCTTGACAGGAGATAATTCCCACAAACACTTGTCCAATTTCTCAGTCCTACACCAATACATTTCCAATCATGTATAACAATAAAAGTCTACTGAGCCAATGAAAGTAGTTATGGGGCAGAGTGACATGTTTTTTTGGTGTTTGCCAGCCCTGGTCATTTTATGCATTTGTTGTATAAAAAGCACAACATGAATATTTTGTTTTGGAACGACGTTTTGAATGTCATTCCAAACCTGTATAACAAAGCCCAATGTTATTTAAAATATCTTCAAAACATCTTCAAGCTACACTGGACCCCATTGACTTTCTTTATAATAATTTAGAAAATATCTACTATTTGTGTTCCACAGAAGAAAAAGTCACACAGATGTGATGAGGATGAGAAAATGACAGAATTTCCCTTTTTTGAGTGAAGTATCGCTTTAAGTCTCTTGTGTTTCCAGATTATTTTCACAGCCCTGATTGTCTTCTGCTTCATCAAAAATCGTGTGGTATATTATATATAACAATCGATTTCAATGTGCAAGGACATGCTTAATGATTAAAAAAAAATACAATGCAAACAATTGTTTTCTTAATCAGTAGTTTTCCAGTACAACATTTAAACACCCTAAAATTGTGTAAGAAATCATTGTTGTTCTTCTTTCACACACTGTTCGAGTCATTTAAATCGGTTGTTCTTTTTTATTGAAATCTATTAACCACATTTTTTTTTCTGCAGCTGTTTTCCGCACCTTCTGCAAGCCCTGTTTGTTTCCCTTTCAAGGGAACTTCGAACTGCATCCTCTAGGGGTCGCTATGGGGAACGCCTCGTCGTGACCCGTGTCTGAAGCATACATTGAAAAAACACCAACAACACGTTGGCCGGCGACAGCCCATGACGTCACTACCGGTGCGACTATAGACCTAGACCTAGAGATGTTCCGGGATTAAAGGAGCGAAACATCAAGGACGGGTGGCTCCCGGCTGACGACCCTGCAGCTGCTCAACCGCGTCACTCCCGGTGCGACTATAGACCTAGACCTAGAGATGTTCCGGGATTAAAGGAGCGAAACATCAAGGACGGGTGGCTCCCGGCTGACGACCCTGCAGCTGCTCAACCGGCACTGCCGGAAGTGCATCTGGCAGAAATGCCTTGCAGGTAGCCTTACCTGTGCTTATACTTTAAAAATGTACTAAATAAATATAAGCTATAGCCTAATGTTTTTATGTAAAATAATTTTGTTTTTCATATATTATTTTCAGACATGAGGAGTACTCACATAGCCGAATTAACGTTACGCATTTAAAGTAACGACCAAGTGGCCAGCAGCAGACAGTTAGCATATGCTTTATCAATTTAGCCTTCTCAAATCATCATGACTTGACTAAAATAAAATCTATAGATATATATAGAACAGTTCAAGCATATAACAATGTTTAAACGTTAAACACTAGTTTATTAGTAAATAATTCAAATATCTTCTTACTGTTTCCCCCTGACGCATTTATGGTAATTACTTTTGCCGATGCTTTGCGGCAAACTTAAG